ATGGATCATCGCACAGTCAGCCAGATGTTCAGACTGGATTTGGCATTTTGTCTACCTATCGAGTCCTTACCAAGGACCTGGGATAGGCAGATGTGGATGTTTGATGGTATTACAGATCTCGTCGCAGGATGGAAGCAGTTCCTAGTAAGGCCGCCTTTTGCAATTGACTAATGGCGAATTTGTCAATGCCGATGATGGTATTCAAGTGGTGCTCAAGTTGTTTTGGAATTGCACCTAAGGCGCCTATTACTATTGGTACTACCCTTGCTTGCCTTTGCCACAGTCTTTCTATTTCTATTTGTAGGTCTTTGTATTTTGTTATCTTCTCCAGTTCTTTCTCGTCTATTCTGCTGTCTCCAGGCACTGCCACTATTATTATTATTATTATTATTATTATTATTATTATTATTATTATTATTATTATTATTATTATTATTATTATTATCTGATAAGATCCACTGTGAATCTCTGCTCTTGGGAGCTGAATGGCTGCACAGAACTAGGAATGTAAACCAGGGCAGGGAATTTGGAGACCAAAAACAGACAAAGCATCTTTCTCCAACCTTGGCAACTTGTGGACTTCAACTCCCAGAATTCCTCAGCCAGCCAGGCCACTTGGCAACTTTAAGACTTGTGGCTGGGGAATTCTGGGAGTTGAAGTCCACAAGTCTTAAAGTTGCCAAGTTTGGAGACACCCCCCCCACACACACACACAGAGACACCTGTTAACCTTGAGAACAAGCAGAGAGACTTGCCTTATCACCACATCTGCCTGCACACCGTAGACCTTTTCTTCCATTGCTTTCTGGAAGGACATCAATGTGTTTTCAGGTGCTAACTAGAGAAAAAAACAGAGAAAATAAATTATATTTACTTTTAATCTGGTTGCAATATGTGTGTGTATGTGTTTACACATACATACACGCACACACCGGAATGGATACCTACCTACCTACCTACCATAGTAAGAAAAAAAATATTAGGATTTTTTTTCACTGCCAAAATGAAAAAAATAAAATAAAAATAAAAGGTATGTCCTAAATTTGGAACGATTACCGTCAATTAAACGCAGGCTGAGCATCGCACTAATTTTCCTTTACCCTAAGCAGCAAAAATGCCCTTTAAAAAAAAATCCATTAAAAGGATTTTGGATGAAATGAACTGGGGGAAAAGTCAAGATTAGCATCATTTAATTGGAAACTCCAACAGAAGGAGCTGAGTTGTAAACCGGGGAGACGAAAGGAGGGTAGTTTCTGGCCCTCTGATCATCTCCTAGTCCCTTTTCATTTCTCAAAGTGTCCATTGTGCCATTACACCTAGTCCTCCACTTACAACAGTTCATTTAGTGACCGTTTGAAGTTACAACGGCACTGAAAAAAGTGACTTACGATGGTTTTCCACTTATCTATCTGTTTATCTGTCTGTCGGCTTATCATCTCTATCTATGCCCTTTGGGTCAGCACACACTCCAACCAATCAAGTGTGTGTGTGTGTGTGTGTGTGTGTGTGTGTGTGTTCTGGTTGACTGCCAGAACTTGCACAACCTCACTGCTCCAGTTCCTCAATTTCAATATCTTAACCAGCTTGCATGTCATTGCCTTATTCAACGGCACCAAAACGAGTCGGAATGTTTTGACTTTTTCTTTTCCCCTTTACACTTTTTCCTCTTCCCCTTTTTAGCCATTATTTTCCATTTTTCTTTGTATTTTATATTTTGATAAAGTAACATGAAAATATTAATTTATTATCAATATTAAAGCACACTATACTTTATTAATATTAATACTAATACCAATACTGTATAGTATAGTATAGTGGTAATAGCAGTGGTGGGATTCAAATAGGTGAACAACCGGTTCTCTGTGTGGATGCCGCTTCCAGAAGTCCATTCGGGGACTGGGCAACAAAAAATTAGCTACCGGTTCTGCCGAAATAGTGCAAACTGGCTGAATCCCACCACTGGGTAATAGTATAGTATAGTATATTATATAACATAATAGCATAGTATATGATAGTATATAATAGTATGGTATAGTATAGTATATGATAGTATATAATAGTATATACTAATATAGTATATGATAGTATAGTATAGTATATGATAGTATATAATAGTATAGTATATGATAGTATAGTATATGATAGTATATAATAGTATAGTGTGATAGTATAGTATAGTAATAATATATAATAGTATATACTAATATAGTATATGATAGTATAGTATAGTATATGATAGTATATATTAGTATATATGTATGATAGTATATAATAGTATAGTATATAATATGATAGTATATAATAGTATAGTATATAATATGATAGTATATAATAGTATAGTATGTGATAGTATAGTATAGTAATAGTATATGATAGTATATACTAATATAGTATATAATAATATAGTATATGATAGCATATACTAGTTTAGTATATGATAGTATAGTATATGATAGTATATACTAATATAGTATATAATAGTATAGTATATGATAGTATATAATAGTATACACTAGTTTAGTATATGATAGTATAGTATATGATAGTATATACTAGTATAGTATATGATAGTATAGTATATGATAGTATATAATAGTATACACTAGTATAGTATATGATAGTATATAATAGTATAGTACATGATAGTATAGTATATGATAGCATATAATAGTATATATTAGTATAGTATATAATAATATAGTATATGATAGCATATATAATAGTATATAATAGTATTATATAGTTACTATACTATTATATACTATTATATATACTATCATATACTATACTATACGATAGTTTATAATAGTATAGTATATGATAGTATATAATAGTATAGTATATAATATAATAGTATATACTATAACATAATAGTATATAATTACATTAACATGTAACAATATGTGGCCAAACAGGGTGTTCCATAATCTGTGCTTAAAGCTGGGCTGTGTGTGTGTGTGTGAAGGGAATGAAACGAGGCCTACCTACCATGGGGGCTCCCCGGTGGCCAAGGAGGGCCGGTCTGGGCCCCAGGTCCTTCCTTTCCATGATGCAAGGGGAGGAGATGGTGAGGGGCACCAGGTACAGCCCAAGGACCACGGCAAAGTAGGTCCCAAACATCAGCAGCTGTGAAGCTGGAGGAAGAAACAGAGAGAAGACCTCAATCCATCAGAACAGAGCGACGTCGTCAGCGCGAGCAGCAAACCCCACATCCACTAGCATTGATGACGTTGCTTAGTCTGGAAGCAAAAAGCCTACAAGCACACCAGCAACCTCAGAGATCACCTAGGCCTCGACCTTCTGGGTTCTGCAATTATGCCAAAGGCACAGAAGTCATCCCTAATTCGTGCTTTACTATTATTATTATTTTTACTTTTGTCGCTGTAGTTGTAGAGTTGCATCGCTCCCTCAATCTTTTCCTTGAAACCTGCTAGACTTTTTGCAAACATTAGGCTTGCTAATGCATTTATTAAAAAACAACAAAATTCACACACAAACACTTCGTTCCTGCTCCAGTCCTGACTGGCTGAATTAGTATTAAAGGGAATTTACGCTGCCAGCAACTAGCCTGGGGCAGCCAAGGGTGCTTACGACGGCGAGACTCAATATGGAAAAGCGAAGTGCTGGATCTGCTGGTTTTCAATTTGCTGAATGTTGAACAGCCTGTCTCTTTCTTCCCTATTCTTTTTTTTATATATAACAAGTTTTTATTGGTTTTTCCAGTTTTCCATTTAAGTATTTAGAAAGCAGCGTGGTGATTGGGTAGTCAATCGTACAATAACAAAATCTTTAGTACATATCTCAGGTTACATCATCAAAAGATTCCTTCTTTACTTCCCTTAACATTGGCTATATCATATTTAAGCTAGTAAATTTGTAATTATAACAATCTCAAGTTAAAACATTTATCAATATATTTATGCTTATACATATCCATGTCCTGTATTTAAATTTTACCCAATTTTTAATTTGTAATTACAGTCTTCCAATTTAACCTTTAATATCCATAGTCTTTAAATTTCGGGTAACCCAAATTTCCTTTATTTGACGGCGTAAAAATTATAATATCTAAAATACACCTCTTACTTACTTAGATAAGCAACAGATGGAAACTAATCAAGGAGAGAAGCAACCTAGAACTAAGGAGAAACTTCCTGACAGTGAGAACAATTAACCAGTGGAACCACCTGCCTCCAGAAGCTGCGAATGCTCCAACACTGGAAGTTTTTAAGAAGAGACTGGACAGCCATTTGTCTGAAACGATATAGGGTTTCCTGCCTGAGCAGGGGGTTGGACTAGATGACCTCCAAGGTCCCTTCCAACTTTATTATTATTATTATTATTATTATTATTATTATTATTATTATTATTATTATTATTATTATTATTATTATTATTATTATTATTATTATTTTATTTCATAGACATTTTCTATTTCTCATCCTAGAACATCACCTCTTACTAACGGAGTATCCTTTATTGTCTCAAATCCATCGTCTATGTCAGGGCTTTTCAACCAGTGGTACGGGTACCACCTGTGGTACATTGGCACCTGGCAGGTGGTACGCGACCTAGAAAAGTGGTAGCAGGGGAATGAGCTGAACCGGTGGCAGCACCGCACAAGCCTGAGCGAGAGACGGCTGGAGCTGCAGGGCTGTCACGGCTCAGCGGAAGTGCCAGGATCAGCACCAGGCTCCAGCTGGAACTTGGCGCTGATCCTGGCGCTTCTGCTGAGCCCAGAAGAAGCACCGATCAGCTGGAATGTTGCAGCCTCTCCAGGGTCTTGTGATTTACATTCAGATGCTTGGCAACTGATTCGTATTTATGACGGTCACAGTGTCCCAGGGTCATGTGAAGGGACCAAAACCTGCTGCAACCACCCAGCAGACGGGGGGAATAAAAACCAAAGACGATTAAAGACGAATGATAAGATAGAAATGTATGTTATTTTAGAATAGATAATGTATATAAAATTTAATGTATATGTAGAGATAATGAATTGATTGTTAAATATGATATAATCTGATAAGAATGTATATACTGGAATGTCACGTCAAATCCAATGTTTGTTTGTTTTTTTTAATTGTTTTATAAATAAAAAGTTTTTTTTTAAAAAAAAAAAACCAAACACCCCCCCACCCCACCCCCGCTGCCAATCCTCAACAGAAATGCTCACAACAATGGAAACCTCGGACAGGAGGAAGAGCGCGGCCGGGTGGGCAGGCAGGTGTCTTGCTCAGCTGTGGCTTGGGGGGCACTTTTTTCAGTGCCATTGTAACTTCGAACAGTCACTAAGCGAACTGTTGTAAGTCGAGGACTACCTGTACTTTTATCACTTTTTTGGGGGGGGTCATCAATTTTCTGACATCTTGCTAGGCGACTGGTGGTACTCGGATATTGCCATATCCTAAGAGTGGTACAATGGGTGAAAAGGTCGAAAAGCCCTGGTCTATGTTATCTGGGCTAAACAATAATCCAGAGCTTTCTTCCCTATCCTTGTCTCCACCACACATTTCATCCTTCCCAACTTTATCCGATCTCGATGTGCTGCTTGCCCAACATTTTTTTCAAATATCCAAACTGCAGCTGAAGTTACGATCTGCAGGATATATAATTCCCCAGAAGGGCATCAGAGCGTTGTACGAAAGGAGAAAACTTAATAAGGCAATAAGCAAAGCAATATCCTCTCCGGCTTACTGACAACCAGAAGAAAAAGCAAAGAAAACAAGAAAAGCAGAAATTGAAAATCTGCAATTCTGTTTTGTAATATACAGTAGGTACCGGGCTTCAGATTGTTCCGTTTGAAAGTTTAGGATTTAATCAGGCGCAGATTTCGGTCCGCATGTCAATCTCAGTTTTTGTTTTGTTTTTTTAAAAAAGGAAAAAACCTCCAAAGATTTCTAGGCACAAAGATATACAGGTAGTCCTCAGCTTATGACCACAATTGAGCCCAAAATTTCTGTTGCTAAGTGAGAATTTTTGTTCAGTGAGTTTTGCCCCGTTTTACGACTTTTTTCGCTGCATCTGTTAAGCCAATCACTGCAGTTCTTCACTTAGTAACACCATTGTTAAGTGAATCTGGCTTCCCCCCATTGACTTAATAATAATAATAATAATAATAATAATAATAATAATAACAACAACAACAACAACAATAATAATATAAAGTTGGAAGGGACCTTGGAGGTCATCTAGTCCAACCCCCTGCCCTGCTTTGCTTGCCCTTTGCTTGCCAGAAGGTCGCAAAAGATGAACACATGACCCCAGGACAGATCAACCATCATAAATGTGAGACAGTTCTCAAGCCTCTGAATGTAAATCACGTGACCACGGGGGGGATGCTGCAACGGTCGTAAGTGTGAAAAACGGTCGTAAGTCACTTTTTTCATTGCCGTTGTAACTTCGAACGGTCACTAAATGCACCGTTGTAAGTTGAGGACTATCATTAGATTGTCCTTGATTTACGACTGTAAGAGAGCCCAGAATTTCTGTCATTCTGTCAGGATGGGCGTAAGTTGAAGACATCCATATGACTGACCCCATTTTAGAACATTTTTTTGTGGCGGATGTAAAGCGGACACTGCGGTCGCTAAGCGAATGCTGCGATCTTTCAGCAAACCCATCGTCTGCAATGGGTGTGTTTGGCCTGAAGACAAAATTAAACATCATTTCTCCCACACACACACACACACAAAAAGTCAAAAATTGGAGCCACGGGACCGAAGAATGCTGCAAACTGGCATAAAAATGAGTCGGTTGCCAAGCCCCCCAAAAGCGACTGCGTGATCGTGGAGGGAGGGGTAGCCGTTGGAACTTCGAGTCTGGGGTCCAACTACCTTTTGGGGTTCCTTTGGAACTCTCAACAGTCACTAAGTGACTGGTCGTAAGTTGAGGACCAAGGTAGATCCAACTTTACATGCAGCTGTGCTTGTTTCAGGGAGGGAAACAGAGATGATGCAATAATAATAATAATAATAATAATAATAATAATAATAATAATAATAATAATAATAATAAAGTTGGAAGGGACCTTGGAAGTCATCTAGTCCAGCCCCCTGCTCATGCAGGAAACCCTATACCATTTCAGACAAATGGCTGTCCAGTCTCTTCTTAAAAACTTCCAGTGTTGGAGCATTCACCGCTTCTGGAGGCAGGTAGTTCCACTGGTTAATTGTTCCAACTGTCAGGAAGTTTCTCCTCAGTTCTAGGTTGCTTCTCTCCTTGATAATGTCGGAAGGGACCTTGGAGGTCATCTAGTTGCTTCATTTACATAATGACACCATGCCCACAATATCACTGTGGCTTCTACAGCATGCCAATGTCTTTACCATGATGAACGTTAAGAAAATATGCTGCAGGATATTAATTCCACCCTATTTTATTTTATTTATATCCTGCCTTTATTATTCTTTACAAATAATTCAAGGCAGTGAACATATCCAACACAACTTCCTCTTCCTATTTTTCCGACAGCAACAACAACAACGTGCGCTGAGCCGGCTTTCATGCCTAAGGCGGGACTAGAACTCACTATCTCCTGGTGATTGGCCCAAAGTCACCCAGCTGCTTTCATGCCTAAGGCGGGACTAGAACTCATTCTCTCCTGGTGATTGGCCCAAAGTCACCCAGCCGTCTGGATACAGATAACCCACTTGGTGCACCGGTTTCACCAAGGGGCACTTAAGAAACCACACTGGCCAGCTTTCCATAAGACACTAAACAATAATTTGAGATTTACAAGCTACGAAGACTTGGCCAAGACGTTAATCCAAAATCAAAGCAATCCTGCTTTAGCCAAATGTAAAGTTTAAGTCATACTTTTCAACCCAAATCCCTAAATCCTTATTTTCCTTCTCCTAAAGCAGTGGTTCTTAATCTGAGGTCCGTGGACCCCTGGGAGGGGGGGAGCATGATATTGTCACAGGGATGGGTGAAAGCTGGAAGAAATGTTATGATTTAAATCTTGAGTTAAGTCTTCAGGGCCTGGGGCCACAAAAGATATTTAAAGCGGGTCCGTGAATCAATTCACCACGGACAATAGAACAGTTAATCAGTGGAACCATCTGCCTCCAGAAGTTGTGAATGCTCCAATACTGTAGGTTTTTAAGAAGAGACTGGATAGCCACTTGTCTGAAATGGTCTAGGGCAGGGGTCTTCAAACTTGGCCCTTTTATGACTCAGGGACTTCAACTCCCAGAATTCCTGAGCCAGCTTGGGGGAAATAAGGCCCTTTCATGACTCATGGACTTCAACTCCCAGAATTCCTCAGCCAGCATGGGGGAACTAAGGCCCCTTCATGACTTGTGGACTTCAACTCCCAGAATTCCTGAGCCAGCATGGCAGAACTAAGGCCCCTTCATGATTTGTGGACTGCAACTCCCAGAATTCTGGGAGGGCCAAGTTTGAAGACCCCTGGTATAGGGTTTCCTACCTGAGCAGGAGGTTGGACTAGAAGATCTCCAAGGTCCTTTCCAACTTTTATTATTTTATTTTTTTTATTTTTATTTTTATTTTTTATTATTATTATTATTATTATTATTATTATTATTATTATTATTATTATTATTATTATTATTATTATTAATCATCGCAGAGTCAGCCAGATGTTCAGACTGGATTTGGCATTTTGTCTACCTATCAAGTCCTTACCCAGGACCTGGGATAGGCAGATGTGGACGTTTGATGGTATTACAGATATCGTCGCAGGATGGAAGCGGTTCCTAGTAAGGCTACATTATTACTACTACTACTACTACTACTACTACTACTACTACTACTACTACTACTACTACTACTATTATTACTATTATTATTAAATGTTGAGAACCACTGTCCCAGAGCATTATGCCTGCATCGTGACAATAATATTCACCAAAAATTGCTCAGGCTCTCCAAAGTCTGGTTAATCCTCCCAACACAAGCTCCATTCTTATGTGTGAGACACCACAACACCCCTACAAAAGAGGTAGAGTTTGCACTGTGACGGTGCGATCCTCGTTTTGCAATTTGTCTGTCCTCTCCCTTCCTTGTCATTCCATTTTTTTCCAGCTGAACGGGAACCCAGATCTACTCACCGGCTCTTTCGGCTTTTGCAAATTGCCCGGAGACCAACCAAGACAGGGCCGTGACAGCCACAAGGGCTCCTAGGTGTAAAAAAGGAGCAGTTGCCTAGAGTGGGGAGAGAAATTATTTGCAAAGAATTAGTAAGCAAATGTTGTTTCTCGGACAGCTAACGGTAGTCAGAGGAAGAGGAGAGGGGAATTAAGGCAGAAAAGCAGAATTTGCATGGATCCAAAACGCAGTTCCACGAAGCTGCAGAGAAATTAAATTAAATTTTCAACTGTTGGCCCTTCCTTTTACAGGTAAGTCCTCAGTTCATGACCACAACTGAGCCTAAAATTTCTGTGACTGAGACATTTGCTAAATGAATTTTGCCCAGTTTTACGATCTTGCTTGCCACCGTTGTTAAATGAAGTACTGCAGTCATTAAGTTAATCACACTGTGGTTAAGTGAATCGGGCTTCCCCATTTACATCACTTGTCAGGAGGTCACAAAAGGGGATCACGTGACTCCCAGATGCTGCAACCGTCATAAATACGAACCAGTTGCCAAGGGTCTGAATTTTGATCATGTGACCATGGGGAGGCTCCAACGGTCGTAAGTGTGAAAAAGGTCATATTACCTCAGGACACTGCGACCGTCATAAATACGAGTCAGATGCCAAGTATCTGAAGTTTGATCACGTGACCATGGGGATGCTGCAACGGTTGTAAGTGTGAAAAATGGTCATAAGTCACTTTTTCCTGTGCCGTTGTAACTTTGAATGGTCACTAAATGAACGGTTATAAGTCGAGGACTTCTTGTACTCTGTTTTCGGCCCTCCAGACTAGGAATCTGATGCCACGTAGATCAATAACACTTTTACTGTAAAGTTATACAGGTAGTCCTCGACTTATGTCCTGATGGTTATTAAATGGGTGATCATGTGACTGTGCTCAGTTTTTACAACCCTGTCTGAGACCATTGTTAAGCAACCATTGAGGTTGTTAAGCAAACTTGTTTCAGTCAATGGGCATCCTTGGCCAGAAATCAGAAATAAACACTGATTTCTGGCCCAAAAAAAATGCTGAAGATCAGTCATGTGACACAGTGATAATGTTATACAGGCAGTCCATGATTTATGACAGTAATTGAGCCCAGAATTAGTCATAAATGATAGTGGTCATTAAGTGACCCAGGACCGACAACACGGGACCGAGTGTGTTTTATGATCTTTGTTGGAGCGGTTGTTAAGCAAATGGTGCAGTCATTAATCAAAAACCATGGTCGTTAAACGTGGTCATTAAACGAACCCATTTTTGCAGGAAACCTCTTCCTCAATACATATAAAAAAATCCCAGTTTTTGATACGGTTATCTTTGACATTCTTTCTTTCCTGTCCCTAGACCAGGGGTAGGCAACCTTGGCTCTTTTATGACTCGTGGACTTCAACTCCCAGAATTCCTGAGCCAGCCATGCTGAGGGGAAAGGGAGAGGTTTCCAAGCTGAGCCATGCTGGCTCAGGAATTCTGGGAGTTGAAGTCCACCAGTCATGAAGGGGCCATAGTTCCCTCATGCTGGCTCAGGAATTCTGGGAGTTGAAGTCCAAGAGTCATGAAGGGGTATAGTTCCCCCATGCTGGCTGAGGAATTCTGGGACATGAAGTCCACAAGTCATGAAGGGACCATAGTTCCCCCATGCTGGCTCAGGAATTCTGGGAGTTGAAGTCCACGAGTCATGAAGGGGTATAGTTCCCCCATGCTGGCTGAGGAATTCTGGGAGTTGAAGTCTACAAATCATGAAGGGGCGATAGTTTCCCCCATGCTGGCTCAGGAATTCTGGGAGTTGAAGTCCACAAGTCATAAAAGTGCCAAGGTTGCCTACCCCTGCCCTAGATACGAGGAAAAAACAGAACATAAAAGATACAGGTTTGTTCAGTGACCATTCAAAGTTACAACGGGACTGGAAAAATGTGATTTATGACCGTTTTTCACACATATGATGGTTGCAGGATCCCCTAGAGCAGTGGTTCTCAACCTTTTTAATGCCGCGACCCCAACCGGTCGTAAGTCAAGGACTAAACTGGTCGTAAGTCGAGGACTAAACCGGTCGTACGTCGAGGACTAAACCGGTTGTAAGTCGAGGACTACCCAACCGGTCGTAAGTCGAGGACTTTCCCTGCCCGGGAGCTCTGCGCATGCGTGGTTCCGCCCCCTGCGCCGGCCGAGGCGTAGCTGGCAAGTGGCAGAGACGGAGCAGGCCGACCACCAGCTGGCCCAGCCCAAGGGAGGTAAGGCACCCGCCAGAAAAGGGGGGAAAAATGGCAGACAAAAAATGGCGGACAGCCTTGCTTGGCGACCCCCGTGAAATGGTCGATCGACCCCAAATGGGGTCCTGATCCACAGGTTGAGAACCACTGCCCTAGAGTCACGTGATCAAAATTCAGAGGCTTGGCAACTGGTTCATATTTACGACAGTCACAGCGTCCCCACGGGGTCACTGTGATCCCCTTTTGCGACCTTCTGACAAGCAAAGTCAATGGGGAAGCCAGATTCACTTAACAACCGTGTTACTCACATAACGACTGCAGTGATTTGCTTAACAACTGCGGCATGAAAGATCGTAAAATGGGGCAAAGCTCACTTCACAAACGTCTCACTTAACGACAGAAATTTTGGTCGTAAGTCAAGGACTACCTGTAGCCATATCCAAAATGGGAAGATTGATTTTTAAGGAAAGTTGTGTGTGTGTGTTTTTTTAAAGGCTTGATGCAGACATCCAATTGCTGAACTGGGCAGTATCAAATTTAGGGCAAATAAACATATTGTTTGGCTCTGCAATCTTTGTGCGTTTGTGTGTGTATGTGTGTGTGAAATTAAGGGAAAACACTTACTTGCAACGATATCACCACCATATCCCATTCATCGTCCCACAACTGGGCTATACAACTCATTGTAACAACAGTCGAGATCAAGGTAGTGATTAACCCAATCTGAAATGCAAGCAAAGAGATTTTATTCTATTTGGTTACTAGTAATCATGGTTTGATCTTAGCTGGCTGCAATATGGAACATCTCAGCTTCACAGGACAGGCGAGGCCTGTCAAACAGAGGTTCCCAGGGGTCAGCGGGCCTATGTGTTTGGAAGCATGCACATTCTCACAAACACTTTAACACCTGTCATTTCAATATGGCCCCCTGGATCTATGAAAGCTTATGTTGAGATAGAGCGGTTTATCTTAAAGCCGCTATCAAAATCTTCCTGGGTTTGGTGGAAAAAATTTAGGGAAAGCCACAGCCAGGTTTCCACTTCTGGAACTTGATCCTTCAGCTGCGGGGAAGAGTAAGAGGAGGAGGAGGACAGAGGAGGAGGAGGAGGAGGAGGAGGACCTCCTCCTCCTCCTCCTCCTCCTCCTCCTCCTCCTCCTCTTTCCTCCTCCTCTTTCCTCTTCCTCTTTCCTCCTCTTTCCTCTTCTCCTTTCCTCTTCCTCTTCTTTCTTCCTCTTTCCTCTGTCCTCCTCCTTCATCTTTCTTCTTCTTTCTCCTCCTTCCTCCTTCCTCTTTCCTCTTCCTGAAAAGAAAGAGGAGAAAGGAGGAGGAGAAAGGAGAAGTAGAAAGGAGGAGGAGGAGGAGGAGGAGGAGAAAGGAGGAGGAGGAGGAAAAAGGAGAAGGAGGAGGAGAAAGGAGAAGTAGAAAGAAGAAGAAAGAGAGAAAGGAGGAGGAGAAAGGAGAAGTAGAAAGAAGAAGAAAGAGGAGAAAGGAGGAAGGAGAAAGGAGAAGGAGAAAAGAAAGAGGAGAAAGGAGGAGAAAGGAGAAGTAGAAAGGAGGAGGAGGAGGAGGAGGAGGAGAAAGGAGAAGGAGGAGGAGAAAGGAGAAGTAGAAAGGAGGAGGAGGAGGAGGAGGAGGAGAAAGGAGAAGGAGGAGGAGAAAGGAGAAGTAGAAAGAAGAAGAAAGAGAGAAAGGAGAAGTAGAAAGAAGAAGAAAGAGGAGAAAGGAGGAGAAAGGAGAAGTAGAAAGGAGAAGAAAGAGGAGAAAGGAGAAGAAGGAGGAGAAAGGAGGAGGAGAAAAGAGGAGGAGGAGGAGGAGGAGGAGGAGGAAAAAAACTGGTAAAGAACTCACTCTTTAGGAAAACGAGTTTTATGACCCACTTCCTCAGCCATTTTGTGAGTGTTCCCGAGACACACTCCCATATTACAATAGCTCTGTCACGGAACAAACCAAAGCCCACCTTATGGATCCAATGCAGGTTCATCTGTTGTCCTACAGCAATGTGACAAAGCGCTAAAATCTGAAAACAAAGGGGGGAAACAGACAGCAATTTATTAATTCATTCAGGGAGGCGCTTTTGCAACCACGAAGAACAAAAACTGAAGTCTTCTACAAGTCCAGCTCAGCTCCTGGTGCATGCAAGGAAACATCCCTATGGTTTTCTGGGCAAACACCTCAACCTGGCTTCTTCTGAGGTACAATTTCACCTTCCTAGTCTAACCTTCAGGGTTGGCATTTCCATCGCTCTCTCCTCCTTCCAGATCTGACTTAGATTTTGTAGAACAATCAAGATCAGGGGCCTTCCAACATGGCCCCTTTTATGACTTGTGGACTTCAACTCCCAGAATTCCTCAGCCAGGCCTTCCAACTTGGCCCTTTTATGACTTGTGGACTTCAACTCCCAGAATTCCTCAGCCAGGCCTTCCAACTTGGCCCTTTTATGACTTGTGGATTTCAACTCCCAGAATTCCTCAGCCAGGCCTTCCAACTTGGCCCTTTTATGACTTGTGGACTTCAACTCCCAGAATTCCTCAGCCAGGCACACGCCCTGAGTCCCATGAGGAGAAGGGCGGGGTACAAATTAAATTAATTAATTAATTAATTAATAAATAAAAGGGCCAAGTTGGAAGACCCCTGATCAAGATCAACTCCATTCTGACCTGCGTTACGGTCTTCCCTTAAGGAGGTCAATCTCTGTTTGTTTACGGGACGCTAAACTCAGGCGAGGTCGACAGAGATGGCTGAGTAAATCGGGGTTTCTCAACTTCACCCCCCTTTTCAGATGTGTGGACTTCAACTCCCAGAATTCCCTAGACGCATCCTTGCGGTCACGTGATCAAAATTCTGCCGCTTGGCAACTGGCACGCATTTATGACCGTTTTATTTATGATCGCTTTTTACAGGCCTTTTGACAAGCAAAGTCAATGGGGAAGCCGGATTCACTTAACGACCGAACGGCTGCATTGATTCACTTAACGTCTGTGGCCAGAAACATCCTAAAATGGGCAAAACTCGCTTAATACCTTAATAATGGAAATTTTTGGCCTCAGTTGTGATCGTAAGTCAAGAAAATAAAATCGAAGAAAATAAAATCGAAGAAAATAAAAACTAAAATAAAAATTGGATTTCTAATAAAATTAGAAATCCAATTTAAAAAAAAAAGTCTTCTGCAAGAACAAAGCTGCCCTATTTTATTCAGGAAAACGAAGGTCAGGCCATCTCTGCCATGTAACCTTTGACAAAATTCACCGGAGATCCTGGGTTCAAAACTTACCAATAAAGCTGTGATGTACGTGAAACCAGCGGCCGTCGTAACCAGTATAGGAATGGACCAATCACTCCAGTATCCCATTCTATTATATAAAAACCTGGAGAGGCAAAGGGAGGGAATACAAGAGAGAATTAAATGCAACCGCGTTAATGCCACGAAAGATATAGCCGAGGGGCATATATCATAGAATGACAGGATGAGAAGGATCCTTGGAGATCATCTAGTTCAACCCCCTGCCCACGATGAGAATTTTCCTACCTCCTACATCAGGAAGGGGGAATTATGGCTCTTTTATGACTTGTGGACTTCAACTCCCAGAATCCCTATGGGGCCATAGTTCCCCACCTCTGTCCTAGATAAAACCAGAGTTTCTCAACCTTGAGGTATGAACTTCAACTCCCAGAATTCCTGAGTCAGCATAGGGCCATAATTCCCCACCCTGTGTCCTAGATAAAACCAGCATTTCTCAACCTTGAGGTATGGACTTCAACTCCCAGAATTCCCCAGCCAGCATGTATCCTACTTGGAAAGAGCCATCTCTGATCTGTTAGCTCAGGGGTCTTCAAAATTGGCCCTTTTATGACTTGTGGACTTCAGCTCCCAGAATTCCTTGTGGACTTCAACTCCCAGAATTCCTCAGCTAGAACTGGAGGAGGAGGAAGAGGAGGAGGAGAAGGAGACTTCAACTCCCAGAATTCCTCAGCCAGAACTGGAGGAGGAGGAGAAAGGGTAGTTGAGACAGGAGGAAAAAGAGGAGGAGGAGGAGGAGAAGAAGAAAAAGAAGAAGAAGAAGAAGAAGAAGAAGAAGAAGAAGAGGAGGAGGAGGAGGAGGAGGAGGAGGAGGAGGAGGAGAAGAAGAAGAAGAGGAGGAGGAGGAGGAGGAGGAGGAGGAGGAGGAGGAGGAGGAGGAGAAGAAAAAGAAGAAGAAGAAGAAGAGGAGGAGGAGGAGGAGGAGGAGGAGGAGGAGGAGGAAGAAGAAGAAGTAGTAGTAGTAGTACTAGTAGTTGTTGTTGTTGGAAGGAACCTTGGAGATCATCCAGTCCATTACCAACTATTCCCCCCCCTCAGAAAAAAACCCGCAGTCCCAAAATGTTTATGTCAGTAGGCCAGCACAGGTAGTCCTTGACTTACGACCACCACTGTGCCCAAAATTTCCGTCGCTAAGCGAGACAGTTGTTAAATGAATTTTGCCCCATTTTGTGTCCATTCTTGCCCCCGTTGTTAAGTGAATCACTGCAGTTGTTAAGTTAGTAACATGGTTGTTAAGTGAATCTGGCTTCCCTCGTTGACTTTGCTTGTCAGAAGATGGCAAAAGGGACACTGCAACCGTCGTAAATATGAGGCAGTTGCCAAGTGACTAAATTTTGATTACGTGACTTGTGGGGACGGTTAAGTGTGAAAAGTATCTTAAACCACTTTTGTCAGTGCAGTTGTAATTTCAAATGGTCACTAAATGAATGGACTACCTATACTGGCATTTCTCGCTACGGATCCAAATTCTCTCTTCCTGGGACAGGGGTAGGCAACCTTGGCTCTTTTATGACTTGTGGACTTCAACTCCCAGAATTCCTGAGCCAGCATGGCTCAGCTTGGAAACCTCTCCCTTTCCCCTCAGCATGGCTGGCTCAGGAATTCTGGGAGTTGAAGTCCCCACATCATAAAGGGGCCTTAGTTTCCCCCATATTGGCTCAGGAATTCTGGGAGTTGAAGTCCACAAGTCATGAAGGGGCCATAGTTCCCCCGTGCTGGCTGAGGAATTCTGGGAGTTGAAGTCCCCGAGTCATGAAGGGGCCATAGTTCCCCCGTGCTGGCTGAGGAATTCTGGGAGTTGAAGTCCACAAGTCATGAAGGGGCCATAGTTCCCCCGTGCTGGCTGAGGAATTCTGGGAGTTGAAGTCC